ACATATGACATTAAACAATGGAGAGATGATAACAGACAAAATGACAATTCATGTAAACTTGTATAACATAAACAACACTGTTGTCAGCATTCATCAACTGGATTTCAGTGGGGGTCATTGTCTGAAGGGTAAGAGCAACTCTTCTTTTTTAAATATTTCTTTCAAGAGGACTTAAATCTTCAGTAGTTATAAAAGAAATCCTAGGTGGGATCAAAATACATGTAATATCAGTAAACAGGAACATGGTGTAATTTATCTTCTATGTTTTCTTAACTACTATTGTTGTAAAAACTGTTTCAAGGTATATACTTAACAGATTACAACACACTTAATTTTCCCAAAGCCTGAAATGTACACACCGAATAAATCCTACAGTAAATAACTGAGAAACAATTAATTGGTTATATGACTTAAAAAACAATGAAAAAATCTTGTACATCATATATATCTTTGTATTAATGTAAAAAACAAAAACAAAATTTTTATATATACAAATATTTCTTCCATGTAGGGGTTCCAATGTAAACACCTTTCACATAGTTTTGTTCATGACGACATTTTCAAGTCAATCACTGCAGCATACAAAATTGTATATGGAAGTTTTTCCCAGATCCATAGTGAAATTATGTAACAAAGGATGATTTTAAAACTTTCAAACATGCATGCACCAATAACCTAATTAATCTCCTAGTACTCTTAATAATGATGCACTGTTTGACAGATCGTCATTCACAATTGTGTAAACTTTGGGCTAAAAATGTCTTAAACGTTAATCCGATGTTTTTAACTTTTTGCGACGTCCATGACTGATGTCTCCATCTATGGAGCTTTCTGATTCGGATTCTTCAAAAGCTCCGGCTTGTGCGTTAACAGCTGATGACACAGCAAACTGTCCCGTGCTTTTAGCTTTCTCTAAAGCTCGAACTGAAAATATTAAACATTTAAACACTGACCAATCTGAATGTAAAGACGCTATAGAGAAAATTAGCTTTCTTTTCAATGTATTGGAATTTAATTGAAAAAATTGGACATGTTGAGTCACCAATACAATCATAGATGCATAAAGATACTTATTTGAAAAACAGGATTGAGACCTAATTAGTTTTCAACCAGAATACTCTCTAAGAATTAAGAATTTTATTTTTTGGTTGATTTTCTACTGGGATATAAATGCGGTATTTCATTTACCCGATTATCAATGGTAAAGAAGAAATCACAATAAATCTGTCTTTTATCTTTGATAGATAAAATCTAATTTTGCCTACAGTGTTGTCTGTTTTCATAGGTGACTACATAACATTTTTTTTATGGCGTGTACACTTACTTTGTTGCTCTAGAATAGCATTATGTTTTTTGAGATCATCTATATCTTGTTGATGACTATGATTCTTCCTTCTCATAAAAGAAATATAATCTGCTGCCTTTTTAAGGATTTGAGCTCTAGATACCTGCAGGAAAAATAAAGTAATTTGATGAATAATATGGAATCCATCTACTTATACTCATGATTTTCTCATCATGTCTTCACTGACTAACATTGTTACATCTCTGGTCATTTGGTGTTTTCATTTTGTTTATTTTCACCTTGTAATGAATCACCATGGAGATAAAGCTTATTTTAAATTTCATTATCTAAGGCTTAAAAAAAAATATGTTTCCAGTAACCCGACTGACCCTAAATTTACCCACTGACCCTACTGTTTTTTTTTTAATTCCAAATCTTGATTTCGTACCATACTTATTTTTGGTCAATAAAACGCATGTCTCAGACACTGTAATTACATGATCATCCCAAGTGTTTTAAAGAGTACACTGTTCTGTTGTGTATGTTTACTCATTAATGTGCATGTATATCTGACAAAAAGAAGTGTATTGAATAATTAACTTATGCTTTTAAAATAAAAAGTACAGTAAAAATTTTTTTTGGCAAGTTACTGGAAACACGCAAATTTTTTTTTATTTGGCCTAATGTATTTTATATAAATTAGAGAAATGAAATGAAGATCCCAGTCTTGAACATTTACATTAACCTTTTCCCCTTGAAGTGATGGCACTGAGTCCCTGAGACTATGAAAACTATCTTTGATGTGGTCACGGCGTTTCCTCTCCAATGCATTGTGGTGAGCCCTTTTTTCAGCCTACAATTGTAAAAGAATTATTACTGTTTTTTTCAGATATAGGTATAATTATATACTCTATCTTCTAACTCTGGTTCAACCACATAAAAAAAAAAAAAAACAGTGAATTTTTTTTTTATAATGAATGAAAATTCCCATGGCTACACTGAGATTAAGCCTCAGGCAGACTTGTAAATATTCTTCACAGACAGATTTACATGTAATGATGTACATCAAGATGTTTGATATGGATTCCTTTCTCTTCTTTTTTACTTTTTCTTTGACTTTGACTCAAAACTAATTGGCAAATCAATGTGATAATTTGTTATATCCCCAGCAGGAATAAGCATCTTTATCAGTGAGACATATAATAATGTAAAGAGTTTTTATACAAACACATTGAAATGCAATTGATTAAAGATCATAACTGCAAGGGAGGGAGGGGGACTTAGTAGTTCCCAGTTCTAAACTGCTTATTGTTTTGGTACAATTTGTTTTCAACCTTGAATTCTCAAATTGTAGCAGGACTCAATAAAATTTAAGCTAATCCATCTGGTATGTTGACATAAAAATAATTACATCTTGAGATCTATAATTTAAATTTCTTTTTGGTCTGAGACTGATGTTGCTAGCGTAATATTCATTTTATTTTCTGCTTGGTTTAGTTATATCAAAATACATCAGTGGTGTTTGGTTACATAAGCACTGTTCAATGCATGCCAGGCTAGCAGGATGCAACATCATGACATATCTTATGTGAGCATGCATTACCTAATCATTAAACCAGAAGAGCCTTATCAACATGCATATATACCTGCTGTTATAATATTTAACAATTTCTTTTCATCTTTTTGATGTTCATATCATAGGATGTTACATTAAAGAGCAAATTTCTTATCACTAGATTCTGGGATCTGTATACTATAACCATGATAGGTAGTATATAGGTCCCTGTTGGATACTGATTGACAATGTTAACTCCTGTGGACACCATATTAAATCAAAGCAATTAGCTTCAGATAGTAAATACTAAACACAAGCCTGCCAAAACATATGCACATAGCTAAATTCTATTGTGCACATAAAATGACAGAAATGACCAGTTGGTTAGTGAACTCTTAAGATGTCACGTGGTTCGTGTTTGCCAACAAACATAAGACATGCGCACTCTACAGCATGGCTACCGGGCGTGCAAACCAGGCAGTTCAAGCAAAAAGATCAATTTCTTAAAATATTCCCTTTCTAATACAAATATTGAAATCTTTTGTCTTACCTGGCTCATAAACTGTGTAGCAGTTCCATCAGAGTTAATTGACCCCCCTAGTTCGTCGTCATCTTCCTATTTTGAAAACGAAAACGAGACTCATATATTAACCTAGAAAATAGTCACGCTTTCTAAAAAAAATATGGACAAATATATTAAATACGACCATTGTAATTGATTGAGGGATACATACATCACTCTCTATCTCTACATCTCTATCCTCATCGCTCATGGTTGGCTTATACGCCCATTCAAGTCAACCTCTCCTTCTCCCAATGATAGGTCAATATGGCGTCAACAAACAATGCCACGAGATCGTCCCACGTGCGACTTCCGGATACATGCTGGGCTTATTTGTCGTAAAAAACCAGTTGCATGTAATATAAAGCATTAAAAAGCATTTCATTTCAAGAGAGTGGAAACAAAACACTTTTGAAATTTGCAATTAATTTCGATGAAATTGATCGCTATATGATTTTGCGACATATGCGACCACGCCCACCTCATGACCACCATCCTGGAAGAATTTCAAATCGCCTGGACATGCAAGTCAACCATCTTTCTGAAGTTGACACAGTTTGAGATCAAATACCAAATGTTTATATAAATATATATCAGCACGAATTCGAATAAGTGACATCAAAAAAGATTTATAACCATGATAACTTGAGAAAGAATTTCTGGTATCAAAAATTCAATATTCGTAAAAAATTATTCAAACACAATTGCTAGATATTTTCATATATGTATCACAAACTCGAAGCAGTGGTACCAAAAATTGATTATTATTTTTTTAATCACAAATTAATTGAATGATATCACCAATTTGAAATTTCTTGAATTTTCTGATATCACAAATTTAAATTAAATCAGATTAAATTAGTGATTTCCGAAAATCATTTTTTGACATTAGAAAAAAAACTTTGAAGATTTTTTTACCCCCCCCCCTTCTCCAATTAATTCTTTTTAAATAATTTATACGATCACCTTTAATCATCGCTCCCTTACATTCCCGGCCACCCTGTAGAAATTTTCATTGCAGAACTACAGTTTGTGAAGGAAAGGGAGTCGAGGTAAAGTCAGGGTAAGTAACTTTGACCTTTTGTAATGGTCAAACACTTGGATCATTTTCGTCAACAATAAAAGATTAAAAAATATTTATATCAGAAATGTCATAAACCACAGAAAGGACAAAGAGCGCAATCAGTGTTTACAATTAATACACAGGGGCGTTTTAATCTTCGTAGCATTTTTTACACAGGCATTTTTTGTTTCTGTACTAAAATTTTTGAGCTACAGTTGGTATAATAATTATACTACGGGTTAAAAATTTATTACAGAATCTGAAGAAGTGTCTCTAATTTTTTTTCAGAATTCTTGAGTGGATAAGGGTGCAGTTTTGCTTCACCCCCCTCTTTCTTATCCACCGCATGTACATATGTAAATGGACAGCTGTTTTTACAATAAAAATGGAACTCGTAAATTTACTTAGCTTGTCATTGGTCATTTGCAGAATTATTTTGTTAAAAACATTCTGATTGTACATTCAAATACTCTGAAGTTGATATGAAAAAGATGCTTGAGTTTCTAATTGACAATATCTATGACGTTTTTGGACTCTAGCTGCGCAAATTCAAAACGAGGCAAAATTGTTTAAAAGGGCAAAAATAACCCTGTATAGAGTACCCTTATCACCTGCATATGGGTCTCCCAGTTGATTCGATACGCAAGAACATGCTCTACGAACCAACAATTTCTAAAACGAGGCTAGCTATTGACAAACAAGTTGATGAAATAAGAATATCAACAATCTCCTTTAAAGTCATCATTTCGCAAGTTCTATAGTCGATACAACGAACCTGTCAGCAAATACAATCTATAATTAAGTCGAATACTGACTTTTTTTCATACTGATCGTTAGGCCATTATTTACACACTTAATTGTCTACGGAATTTTCCGTTTTCCCAATCATGACAAGGAACACACGTGGTTGTGACCGGTCGACAAGGGATGCTTACTTCTCCATGGCACCTGATCCCACGTCTGATATTTTTAGAGGTCGGTGTTTGCTCAGCTTCGGATTTGTATTGTTTCAATGGACTTTTGAGCTTGATTACTGTTCATTTTCTCCTTAAATCATGTACAATCAAGCATATTTGTGTGATTTTCTGTTCTCAGAATATTTGAAGAAGATTTGAAGGATCGTACAAGCACTGCAAGACGCTAAAGAACTAAGTATAGCTGAGCGAGAGAGAGAGATCTAGAGACTACTTGCATAGCCGATCTTCTGAGCATTAGTGAAATGGTGAAAGGGGTGGGATGGGGGGTGAAATCAAAGAGCTATATTGCTGAACTGCTAAGGGCTCTGTTGCTGAACTGAAAAGTATTTCCCCTAATTCCCGACAACAAATATTTAAATCTAAATAAAACTTTGACACTTATCCCTTGGACTCGGAATGTACACTATTTGGGGATATATTGCTTGCATATCAGTTTCATAAATTGTTGTCCTGATTTTCCTGTACGGTTTTTATGCCCCAAGATCGTCGATCGGGGACATATTGTTTATTTATCCTGTCTGAAAATCTGTTCTTCTGTGTTTCTGTCATAATCTTTTACCTTCCTTTTAAATTTTGAACCACATAGAAGTAAGATACTATATAAATAGCAATATATATATATATATATATATATACATATATATATATATATATATATATATATATATATATATATATATATATATATATATATATATATATATATATATATATATAAAAGAAATATTTCAGTTACCTTGTTCGCCTCTCTGTCCATCTAGTTTTTCAACTGTATCCGGGACATATCTTTGTAATGGATCGACAAACATGAAGCTCATACTTGAGACAAAATTGCTTATGACCTGAGAATGTGTCTTGATCTTAACACAAGGTCATCTGGGCAAATTCAAGGTAACTGACAAAAAGTGCAAATTCCTGTCCAGTCATAACTTTCTAATAAAGAAACACTAGAACTTCATTCGTCACTAAAAAGATTACCCATGACCAAAGGCATGTCATGATCTTGCCCGAAGATTGCTTACGATATGAAAATGTGTCATGACCTTGACCCAAGATATTATTTGGGCAAGTTCCTGGCAGAATAAGTGTATAATTCATATATGACCAATAACTAAATAATGGATAAATATTGTAAGATGATATTTGACACAAAGATAACTTGTAACCCAAGTTCATTTGGGCAAGCACAATGTCTCTGGCAGTAAAAAATGTAAAATTCATGTCTGGTCCATAACTTTCTAATGTAGAAACACTATAACTTCAAACGTACCCCAGGGGTAGGGTGGGTCCACAATGGATGATCAAAGTTTTACATGGGAATACATTGGAAAAATCTTCTTCTCCAGAACCACTGGGCCAAGAAAGATGAAACTTATGTGGAAACATCTTCAGGTAGTGTAGATTCAAGTTTCTTAAAATCATGATCCCCAGGGGTAGGGTGGGGCCACAATGGACAATGAAAGTTTTACATTGGAATACGCAGGAAAAATCTCAAGAACAGCAAAGCCATGATTGGTTATATTTACATGGAAACATCCTCAGGTAGTATAGATTCAAGTTTGTTCAAATATGACTCTGGGGATAGGGTTGGGCCACAATAGACGATCAAAGATTTACAAAAGCTTCTTCTATCAGTTTATTTGAAATCTATGGATCCTCTATGGGATCCTCTTGTGGCAAAATGTCCTAAAGTTTGAAAATTGGCCTTTTTGAACATGTTCAGGGGTTTGCAGCAATGCAAACAAATGGCAATGACTGTTTCCAAAAGTTATAAAAAAGTCTGATATCTTAAATGCAAGATAAACATATTTGGGAAATCAACTATATAATAATATTTCATTCGTTACTATGGAAACAAAGTATTCACAAGTAATAATTTTATTCATTCATACTTATAAAGTTATACAGTCAAAAATTAAAGCAATTATAGGTTGAAATGCAACCAAATAAGAGAGAAATATCCTTTTATTATACCTCTACCGATTTTTTTCCCTATTTAACATTACATCGTCAGATGTGACTAATTCCCTAGAAATCGTTATGAATGGACTAATCCCCGTGCGTTAGTCAAGTGAGCTAATCCCTGCATCAAAAGCTAATTCCCGGTTATCCGTAATCCTCTAGATTTTACTTTTACATTGGTATGATATGTGAATGGACTAATCCCCGTGTGTTAGTTCAGTGAGCTAATCCCTGTTGTGAAATCACGCTATCTGAATCCTCTAAATTTTACGTTTGTATCGGTATAATAAAACAGTTAAAAGTATATCATTGCGGGAGTTAGCAAGATTCCAGTCCCCCTCGACCAGGACTATTTCCCTCGGCTTCGCCTCGGGAAATAGTCCTAATCTTGGGAAATTGGAATCTTGCTAAGTCCCACAATGATATACTTTAACTGTATAATAACATATATCAGGGACGAAATTTTATATTTTTCTGATATATATATTTTTTTATATTGTCATCATTTTCAAATTTCAAAAAATTCAAAGTCTTTAAATAGAGCGTTGCTGTGGAAATTACCGGAGAAAAATAAAAAAGGTGAAAAATATTTTCTTTCCTCGTACATGCATACACATGTATATGTATATATGTGAACCATTGTATGCAGATTCCCAAAACTTTTATGATCGATATTTATGAACAATTAAACTGACTTTCAGTTTTGACCACCACACAGTCTGGATGCAAGAAGCTGCCATATATAGGGTTTAATATTGCTATAAAGTTAACAAAATCGAACATTTTTCCTTCTTGGTAACCATAGCAACAGTGTTATTTTCTTCATCAAACCATATCAATATATGATAATCAACTTTATTTCCATCAGATACATTTATGTACTATTTAAGGTGAGGCAAATAATATGCTACTTGATTAAAAGATAACTATATTCCTAAAGCAGCAAAAAAAAAAAAAAAAAAAAAAAAAAAAAAAAAAAAAATCACTTTTAGCCACTACTACTTTGATTGTTTATTGTTGCCCCATCCAACCTCCAAGGAGTCAAAAACTTCAATGTACACGTCCTGACAATACAGCTGTATTTGCAGCATTAAAATCACTAAACTTGGCATTAATATTATTAGTCCCCTACCGGTGAAACCGGAAGGGTCTATAGGTTTCCTCTGAGTCTGTCTGTCCGTCTGTCTGTTCCTCTGTCAGTCTGTCCCACTTGGTTTTCCGCACTTTTTTTCCTAAACGCTTGCAGGTATTGAGCTGATTTTTGTTATGTGAGTGTATCTTGATGAGTTACAGATCAAGTGTGCATTTCGTTCCACTCCAATGATTTTTGACGGAATTTAGACCTTTTCAATTTTTCAGGGTTTTGAGCAATTTTTTTCGAAACGCTTGCAGATATTGAGCTAATTTTTGGTATGTGACTTTACCTTGATGAGTTATAGATCAAGATTGCATTTCGTTCCGCTTCATTGACTTTCGACGGAATTGTGGCATTTTCAATTTTTAACGGGAACCAGATTACACTTGCCGGTAGGGGACTAGTATTGCTAATGCAATACTCTCAGAATGCTTGTTACATAATGAGAAGATTTTTCCTCTTATTTTCCCATATGAAACTTTGATTCCTTTTATGGCACCAACCTACCCAGGGGCCAAGATTTAAATAATTTTAAATTTACTCAGTGCTTGTATAATATGACTAATCAGGGTCCTGTTGTTCTTATAAGAAGTTATTTTACGATTTTTTTTCCTCTACATTCCAATATAAACTTTGATACCCTATTGTGGCCTAAAGCCTATATCTGGGGCAATGTTTTAAAAAAAAACAAGAATATGCACTATCTGAAGATGCTTGCATATTGATATTACTAATCATGGTCCTGCTGTTCTTGAAATTTTTTTAAAATCATTTTCTTATAAATTCCCTTGTAAAAATTTGATCCCCTATTGGGGCCCCACCCTATCATCAGGGACCATGATTTGAACAAAATTGAATTTGCACTAATTCAGAATGCTTGCACGTTAATATCATTTATCATGTTTCTGCTGTTCATAAGACGAAATATTTAAATTAAATTTACGATATAGTACGGTGGCCCCGTCCTACCCTAGCTCCTGAGCCATGATTTCTACAAACTTGAATCTGTACAATTTCAGGAAGCTTTCGCTTAAGTTTCAACTTTTTTGGCTCAGTGGTTTTAGAGAAGATTTTTTTATGACACCCACCATATTTAATTTTTTTTTCTCTCGGTTATCTCTTCTTTAAACAGGGTGTGCCCCTTTCAAACATGAATCCCCTTTACCTAAGAATACTCTGCACCAAGTTTGTTTGAAATTGACCCAATGGTTCTGGAGAAGATGAAATTGCAAAAAATTCATGATGATGACGAAAATGGACAAATTTTGATCAGAAAAGCTCACTTGAGCCAAGTAAGCTAAAAAGATCATCACGCAACTTTTAGTTCTTAAACTGCTAGATTTAGGGTTATAGGGTTAATTTATAGGTGGTTTTCTTGATAATGAAACACAGATACCAACACCTTAAAAAATTCCAATAAGACAAAGTTAATATTCAGGGACCCATTTTACAAAAGAACTTACGACCTGGACCAAAAACTTAAGTTGTTTGTGAAATCTTGCAAAATTAATGTTTCCATTAAAAATTGTTTGCATAGAAATATCTCTCTAACTTCTTTTAGAAAAGGTCCGATCCATTTTCAGATTAATGTTAAAAAGAAAGTTAGAAGCAAAATCATATTTTGGTCTTAGTCGTAAGTTCTTTTGTAAAACGTAGCCCAGGTGACTGATATTATCCTGCAATCTTGTGTAACCCAGCAAAATTAAATATGTTAACAAATTTCTTTCCTTAATTTTAATGCCCTCTGTCTGTTAATATGTCCGCAAAAATTTGAACCTTGTCCATTACTTTTGAATGATTTTTACTTTCATATTTCACATGTGTATTTCTTGTGACAAGACCTTTCTTTGGGTACCAACACATTTGACCTCTTGACCATGGAGTTTGACCTACTTTTGCAAAAAATTACCAAACTTTAACTTTTGGCCATAACTTTTGAATGGTTGGAGCTAGTGCTTATATATTTCATGTGTGTATTCCATGTGGCCAGAACTTTCATTTGGTACCAACATTTTTGACTTTCGATCTTGACCTTAGAGCTTGATCTACTTATGCAAAAACTTTCACCTTGGTCATAACTTTTGAACAGTGGGTGCTATAGGACTTTCATATATATGTGTATTTATTGTGACAGGATCTTTCTTTGAGTACCAACATTTTTGACCTCATGACCTTAACTTTGGAGTTTGATATACATTTGAAAAAACTTGCCTATAACTTTTGAAAGGTTGCTGCTAGGCCTTTCATATTTCACTTATGCACACCTTGTGCCACAACCTTTCCTTTGGTACCATTATTTTTTGATCTCATACTTGGAGTATGACCTAATTTTTGAAAAAAAAAACTTTAACCTTGGCCATATTTTCTGAATGGTTGGACTAGAGCTATTATATATTTCATATTTGTATTCCTTGTGACAAGAGCTTTCTTTGGGTTATCAATATTTTAGAACTCTTGACTTTGACCTTGGATTTTGACCTACATTTGAAAAACTTTAACCTTGGCCTTGAGCAGCCACAGAGGGGCAAAAGTGTTTCACAAACACATCTTGTTTTTCAATGCAATTCTCTGCTTTGAAATTTTAACAACAATTTTACTCCCAGTAGTGAATAGTGTTCCACAAAATGAAAAACGAATACATACAACTTTAAGAAACTTTATTTCAGAAACAAAAATAAAAGTGTTATATACATTTAACAACAATAAAAATTCATACATATACCTTGACATGAAAATTGGATTCATATTAAACACCTCAATTTAGGCAAGTATGAACAACAGGCAATTACTGTGGTTTATAATCTATGAAAACAAGAGGCCCTAGGGCTTTAACAGTCACCCGAGTATAATACTACCCTGGTAAAGATCCATGGAATGGTAAACAATTAATAAACTGAAAGAAAAGAGATAATCAGGGCTCAACAAAATAGTTAGTCTAGTAATTATCAACAATTCAGAAACCTGCCTGTATATATCAGTGCTCCAGATGTTTCTACACTCCATCACTTCCACTAACATAACAATAGTGCTTTGACATATAACATTATGTTAAAGAGAAACTATCCCATGGTGGCCTCTCTTGGTTTTTAACTTATATTTAATGTACTTATATAAATATAAGATATTTTGTCTCATTTAAATTCATCTATTTTTTTTTTTTTTTTTTTTTTTTTACAAATGTACCAGACTATTTAAAAGAAATTATAGTGATGGGAATCGGTAAGAATTTCATAATCGATGATCGGGTTACTGTAACCAACTATCTTTCATCTGCACCATTACAAAACACAAGTAAGATAATAGATAAGTCACAGCTGGAATATTTGGCCTAAAAAAATTGTTATGCTTGTAAAATAAAATAAAAAATAAACCGATTAATTGGAATAAACATTTTGTAATTGGGCGCTTGGATTGTGCCAGCAATCAACTGATTTTCAATTATAATCGATGACTGGAAACACTACTAAGAAATTACTTTTTATATTATATATCAAAAATTATTATCTAATTCTTTTATTCAACTAACCTATCATTAACATTATTTGCACTGATTTAATTAACATATGTCATGAGTGCAGCCTCACGTTAGCACCAGAACACTTGACCTCCAGGCTATGAATTTCAAAATTTTGAAAGAGGCATTGTTGCTCATCAATAGTCATCATAACCATGCACTTAGTTTGTATTCTAAATATCCAGGGGCTGAGAAGAAGATTTTCAAAGAAATAATGCATTTTTACTATATATTCAAAAGTGCTCACCCTAACATAAGAATACCTGACTCCTGGGCCATGAATTTCATGATTTTATAAAAGGCATTCTTGCTCATCACAACTATGCACTTTGTTTGTATTCTAAATACCCAGGAGCAGAGAAGATTTTCAAAGAATTAATGAATTTTCACTATGTGACCAATACAGCCCTGCCCTAGCACCAGAACCTCTGACCCTTGGGCCATGAATTTCACAACTGGAGAGGCACTCTTGTACACTATTTCTATGCACTTAGTTTGTTTGCTAAATATACTGGTACAGGTGAAGAAGAGATTTTTGAAAATTTATGCATTTTCACTATATGACCAATACAGCCCTAACACCAGAACCCCTCACACTGAGACCATGAATTTCACACTTTTGGTCGAGGGCTCAATGCTTTTTACAATCATGCCAACAGTTTAACTGCTTGATGTCCCGGAGTGAAAAGAAGATTTTTAAAGATTGCAATACTTTTGATATTTTTAGCACCACCCCTTAGGCCTTGAGGAGGAGGGGGCAAGGACCACGAAATTCAAAAGTTTTGTTCCCTTTCACCCATAGATACTCTGTGCCAAAATTAGTTGAAATTGGTTCAGTGGTTCCAGAGAAGAAGCTAAAAATGTTCAAATGTTAATGCACAAAGAATGATGACGGACAAAAACAGGTGATATAAACATTCTAAATTCAGCCTCTTCAATTTTTCTCATTTTCTTAAGCAAATTTTGATTGGACAACAAATATTGCCCCTCTTGTACTATAATCTGAAATTAACAGATATTGAATCATCATGCAAATTATGTCTGAAATGAATACCAAATAACCCTTACGAATCAAGATAAAAAATAACTTCCCAACATTGTATTTATGTTTGACTACAAATTGTATTTCTCAATAATGAAATTAAAATGGAAATTTCCCCAACTGAAGAATTCAGGCTATTAAAAGAAATAAAGATTTTATGGTGCACTTGAATTTGTGGGTCTCGATCTTCATACCTCAAAAACAATGGAAAAAAAAAAAAACACGAAAAATATTGATTTCACAGTATCAGTTTTGTTATTATTTTTTTAATGTCTGAAATTTACTGAATGTGCTTCAAAACGGTGTGGGGTTTAGTCTTTGATTTTGTTAATGCAATTAATGTTAAAATGTAAAATTTCATATTCATAGCTACCATACTCAACACCTTTTCAACCACGGAATCAAATCCCCACAAACCAATATTTTTTCCTTAAACCTACAAAATTTGACCCCACAAAAATATATGATTTTACAGTATTAAACTTTTTTTTCCAGTAACAATATTTTTCTTGTCAGAATGAAACATACTATTTCTCTCGTTTGGACAAAATATCAATTCAAAGCATTTCAACTTTTTAAGCATAAAAATCAATTGTACGAGGGTTGTTTGAAAAAAAAGTTTGTGAACTTCCGTCATATTATATCCAAATTTGGTAACCTGTTTTATCAATAAATTCAAATAATTTGTATTAAAAATTTCAAATATATCATGATACATTTCCATTATTTAAAATTTGAAACAGTGAAAATATACATTATAATGCTGTTAAGTGCACTCTGTGGTAATACATGCTGATTTTAAAATTAAGTAACATGAGTTCCATATGATGAAACTTCACATAACAAAAAATTTTTTAAACATAATAATGTTCTGATCTTGAATTTCTGGAAAATAATATATTAAAGACTGACATTGTTCATGATTTTTTCAAACAGCCCTCATATAGGACTAGATTTTTTTCAAAATTTTATAATGGATTTCAAATATGATGATTTCAATAAGCAGAGATTCTATAATCACATATTGTTAATTAGTGAACACCACCACTCATATAAAAACTTAACATAATAATTATACACATGTATTATATTTAATCCCTTCTTAAATCCTGATAAATACAATTGCTTTGATTTGGATCACTGCCTGATTTCTTAGAACAAATCAGTACTTTGTCACTTGTTCCTTGGTTTCTTCAGTTATATCTAGTTTCTGAGGAGTGTCTACTCTGACTTGGGACAATTTCTTTTCTTCAAACATTTCCTGATCTCTTTTCTCTTTGGCCTTTTCTCTTTCCTCCTGTAAGTGAACATTTTATTTTTTATTAAACTTCTGCAATAAGTACGACTTATGATATTACTGGAATTCTAAGGAAGTTTAAATTATCACAGCTGCAATGACATATGTGTATTATATAAAACAATTTTGTATAAAGAAAATTATTTAATGTTCTGAGTGGAATAAAATGGCTTTACAGCTATAGCTACTAAGGGTGCTAATACAGGAGAATACTTTCTGAAAACTACAGAAGAATAAAATCAGCAGAAAGTTTGAATTCATCAAAACATGTTTTAAAATACCGTAAAATCACATATTTTAGTGGGGTCAATTATCATTGTTATTGGAAAAAATACTGATTCATGGGGATTTGATTTCATCACTGAAGAAGTCTTGAATAGTTATGCATATTTCTTGCAATGTAAAGAACACCTATCATTCTTTTTCAATCTCTCCATATACGTCAGTTTAACATATTTCAGCACTAACATTTTGTTGCATAAATTCAGCCGGAAATCTCCAGTTACACATTTTATATGATGTTTAGAGGCTAGTTTTAAATCTTTTAATTACATTAGCTAATAATGTCTAATTTTAATTCAATTTTATACACATATTGTCCTACCTCTTCTTTAAGACGGTAGTATTCATCAATCGCATACTGGTATTTTGGTGTGGTGATGCCAAAAAACCATGCTAGCTTTTCTCCACAAGTGTCTGCCACTGTCCACAAGTATACAGAAAGTTAGCAACTATAGTTTTATTATCATTTTCTAGTATGATTTTTAAAATTGATTTCAAAATTAGACTTGCTAAGACACCTATATATATTAAAAACAAAATGAATTTCTGGTACTTATCTGAAAGCCAACACAAAATATACTCCAAAAACTCTTAGCAATTCAAAGAGTTGTCTTAATAAGAAAATTATATTGAATGATTAATAGCTTTGTCCCAGTTATATAATGCTGATGTCTAAAAACCAACTTAAAATCTTGTAACAGTAATCTGCATTGTACCGTATAATGTTCCCCTGGCTGTGTTCACTATGTAATACCAAAACCAAGGCAACCAATTCAGCTCTTTCTGAAAGATAAAAGATGAATGACAATGTAATATTTACAGTTGGTTGTGTATCTGACCAATCAACTTGCAGAATTTTGCCAAGATTACTATGGTGTGTTACACATGGTCTAATGAGTAAAGTGCCGTGCATCACAATAGCTCTACTAAGGTGAAGTTTATTTTAGTAGGCAGCGCAATGATTAAGCATTGTAACTGTGATGTGGATTTCAAGGGGAATAAATCCCCTCAATTTTTAGCTCTACTGGTCAGAGACCAGAAGAGCTTATGCGATAGTAAGGTGTCCGTCGTCCGTCCGTCTGTCTGTCTGTCCGTCTGTCTGTAAACAATTTTTCAAAACGCTACTCCTCCTACAGTTTTGGTCCGATTTCAATATAACTTGGCACACAAGTAGACTACACTAAGATACATAATTTAGTGCATCGATTTTTGATTTCAATGAACGGTGTTGCCATGGTTACTAAAAATAGAAATTTCTGTGAAATTCCTTTAAAACGCTACTCCTCCTACAGTTTTGGTCCGATTTCAATATAACTTGGCACACAAGTAGACTACACTAAGATACATAATTTAGTGCATCAGTTTTTGATTTCGATGGACGGTGTTGCCATGGTTACTAAAAATAGAAATTTCTGTGAAATTCCTTTAAAACGCTACTCCTCCTACAGTTTTGGTCCGATTTCAATATAACTTGGCACACAAGTAGACTTCACTAAGATACATAATTTAGAGCATCGGTATTTGATTTCAATGGACGGTGTTGCCATGGTTACTAAAAATAGAAATTTCTGTGAAATTCCTTTAAAACGCTACTCCTCCTACAGTTTTGGTCCAATTTCAATATAACTTGGCACACAAGTAGACTTCACTAAGATACATAATTTAGAGCATCGGTTTTTGATTTCGATGGACGGTGTTGCCATGGTTACTAAAAATAGAAATTTCTGTGAAATTCCTTTAAAACGCTACTCCTCCTACAGTTTTGGTCCGATTTCAATATAACTTGGCACACAAGTAGACTACACTAAGATACATAATTAAGTGCATCGGTTTTTGATTTCGACGGACGGTGTTGCCATGGTTACTTAAAATAGAAATTTCTGTGAAATTCCTTTAAAACGCTACTCCTCCTACAGTTTTGGTCCGATTTCAATATAACTTGGCACACAAGTAGACTACACTAAGATACATAATTTAGTGCATCGGTTTTTGATTTCGATGGACGGTGTTGCCATGGTTACTAAAAATAGAAATTTCTGTGAAATTCCTTTAAAACGCTACTCCTCCTACAGTTTTGGTCCGATTTCAATATAACTTGGCACTCAAGTAGACTACACTAAGATACATAATTTAGTGCATCGGTTTTTGATTTCGATGGACGGTGTTGCCATGGTTACTAAAAATAGAAATTTCTGTGAAATTCCTTTAAAACGCTACTCCTCCTACAGTTTTGGTCCGATTTCAATATAACTTGGCACACAAGTAGACTACACTAAGATACATAATTTAGTGCATCAGTTTTTGATTTCGATGGACGGTGTTGCCATGGTTACTAAAAATAGAAATTTCTGTGAAATTCCTTTAAAACGCTACTCCTCCTACAGTTTTGGTCCGATTTCAATATAACTTGGCACACAAGTAGACTACACTAAGATACATAATTTAGTGCATCGGTTTTTGATTTCGATGGACGGTGTTGCCATGGTTACTAAAAATAGAAATTTCTGTGAAATTCCTTTAAAACGCTACTCCTCCTACAGTTTTGGTCCGATTTCAATATAACTTGGCACACAAGTAGACTACACTAAGATACATAATTTAGTGCATCGGTTTTTGATTTCGATGGACGGTGTTGCCATGGTTACTAAAAATAGAAATTTCTGTGAAATTCCTTTAAAACGCTACTCCTCCTACAGTTTTGGTCCGATTTCAATATAACTTGGCACACAAGTAGACTACACTAAGATACATAATTTAGTGCATCGGTTTTTGATTTCGATGGACGGTGTTGCCATGGTTACTAAAAATAGAAATTTCTGTGAAATTCCTTTAAAACGCTACTCCTCCTACAGTTTTGGTCCGATTTCAATATAATTTGGCACACAAGTAGACTACACTAAGATACATAATTTAGTGCATCGGTTTTTTTATTTCGATGGACGGTGTTGCCATGGTTACTAAAAATAGAAATTTCTGTGAAATTCCTTTAAAACGCTACTCCTCCTACAGTTTTGGTCCGATTTCAATATAACTTGGCACACAGGTAGACTACACTAAGATACATAATTTAGTGCATCGGTTTTTGATTTCGATGGACGGTGTTGCCATGGTAACTAAAAATAGAAATTTCTGTGAAATTCCTTTAAAACGCTACTCTTCCTACAGTTTTGGTCCGATTTCAATATAACTTGGCACACAAGTACACTACACTAAGATGCATAATTTATTGCATCGGTTTTTGAATTCAATGGACGGTGTTGCCATGGTTACTAAAAATAGAAATTTCTGTGAAATTCCTTTAAAACACTACTCCTGCTACAGTTTTAGTCTGCTTCTAATATAATTAGGCATACAAGAAGACTATACTAAGATACATAATTTATTGCATTGGTTTTTGAATTCGATGAACAGTGTTGCCATGGTTACTTAAAATAGAAATTTCTGTGAAATTCCTTTAAAACGTTACTCCTCCTACAATTTTGGTCTGATTTCAATCTAATTTGGCACACAGTTAGAATACACTACGATACATAATATGTATTTCTGTTTTTTTTATTTGGGTGAATGGTGTTGTCATGGTTACCGGTACTAAAAATAGAAATTTCCGTGAAATACTTTCAAAACGCTACTACTCCTAGTTTTCATTTGATTTCAATATAACTTGTCACAAAAGTAGACTTCATTAAGATACATAATTCTATTTATTGTTGCATGTTGCAATGTTTCAAATCCAAGTGCTACTTTTCTTTTGTTATACAAACAGACCAGTAGAGCTACAGTCTCATCAGAGACTTCTGGTTTTCTTTTGATTTTAGAAAACCATGACTCAATTTTTTTTCTCTTGGTTTTGGGGCTTCAAAACTAGTAACCCAAAGGTCAATTTCATGATTAAACTTTGTCAAACTTCAAGATAGCATTTGAGTGAGTCAGCTCAGGTGACATAAAAAAGGAAACAAAACAGAAATATGGCCTGGCTGCAAAGTCCCTAGAGCCTTACCAGTCACCTGAGTATAATACAACACTGTAAAGGATCCACTGAAGAATGAAATAAAACAAATTAAACTGAGAAATGAATATATGTTGTCCAAAAGCCAGCGAAATAGGATGATCAGGGATCACCAAATTAGCAACTAAGTTAGTCTAGTACTTAGTAATAAATCATAAAGTAAATATATTTACTTGCCAATACTCATACACTCCCATTGGACACTATCAACATGATCAATATTCAGACTAAATAATACAATAGTGCTTGAGAACATGGAGTAAACCTTTCTCATTCCCTTACACACAGGCTTCTCTTGATCTTGGAAGAATATGTAATGTACAATTAGATAAGGTATATTTGTCTCATTTTTATTTATCTATTATTTACAAATCTACCTGCCCATTTAAAACAATGAAAGTACTTTTTGTATTATACATTCAAAATTCTTGTTTAATTCTTTTATTCAAGTTGACCTATCAATTACAATAATAACAGTTAATTAATTATCATAGGTGAATAGCAAAGGGGATTACTTCTCTCAGAAGAGTACACATTTCACTACAATAACAATTAATAGAATCCTGCCCAGCAGGAAAACACTTGATCAAGTGATCAGGAATTTCACTATTCTTGTAAAAAAAAAAACCCTTTTCATTACAACTTATTCTGTTTGCCTCCTAGATGCCCAGGAGAAAAGAATAAGATTTTTAAAGAATTTATGCATTTTTACTATATGATCAATCATGCCCCACCCAACACCAGAACCTCTGATCCAGGGGCCATGAATTCACAATTTTGAAAGAGGCACCTTTGCTCATCAGTACCATGCACTTAGTTTGTTTGCTTGATATCCGGGAGCAGAGAAGAAGATTTTCAAAGAAATAATGCATTTTCATTGTATGATGAATACAGTCTTAGCCTAACACAAGAACCCCTGGCCCAGGGGCCATGAATTTCACAATTTTGCACTCTTGCTTATTATAACTATGCACTTAGTTTGTTTGTTAAGTATACAGAGGGAAAGAAGCTTTTTAAAGAATGTATGCATTTTCAATATATTATCAATATAACCCTGCCTTTATACCAGAACCTGTTATAACACCAGAACCCCTGACCCAAGGCCATGAATTTCAAATTTTGGAAGAGGTACCCTTGTTCATTTAACCATGCACTTAGTATGTCTGCTAAATATAAAAGGGGAAAGAAAAAGCTTTCTAAAGAGTGTATGCATTTTCACTACATGATTAATAGAGCCACAGCCTTACACCAGTACCCCTTACCCAGGGGCCATGAATTTCACAATTTTGGCAGAGGGCTCAATGCCTTATATCACAATCATGCTAACAGTTTAACTGCTTGATGTCCAATAGTAAAAAAGAAGATTTAAAAAGTATTGCGTTAATATTGATGGTTTTAGCCCCACCCCTTAGACCCCAGGCCTATGTCAACTGTAACACTTACAGTATTTTACCTATGTTTGAAGATGATCATCAGAAAAAAAAATCACCAAAGGAGCAATCAATCAGGAATTTTAAAAATGAAAACGTAATCTGATAGTTAAAATAGCAATTGATTTAATCACCTGAAGTTATGAGAAAAAATTGTTAAATACACATTATATAACCATCCTTACTGAGTTGATTTTTAGCTGCATCAATTAGAAATGTTTGTAAATTCAGACCTATTTCATTTGGACCCTGGTATAGGCCTCATGAAGGATACATTTGATGTATTGTTTACACTGTTAAATTGTAACTGAATTTTGACATTTTTTTATGTTATACATGTACTGTATGATGCCTAAAATAGTGGGCTTCATATTTTGGCGGCTTTGGCAAGAAAATCAATGCACTAAATCATGAATACCATTAATATATCATTTGTAAATAAAATACATGGTGTGGACATGTGTAGCAATAATTCATAATTATGCCAACCACTCAATACCCAGTGATTGTGCTAAATTTTGAATACGTCAATTTATGTACGCATACAGTATGCCATAGAAACCCTGAAGACTTTTCATTTTTTTTGTGTTACAGTATTATATATTATTCCAATTTCTGCATGAACTTCCTGTTACACAGCTGTTATTACAATGTATGTTTCATGTACAATGATCACTGTAATCACTTCTCTGTTAATGAGTCTGGGTCTCTGTACCTTGAATATTTTGAATCATTATACAGATTATATTGCAGTCCTTACTGGGTTGATCTCTGGTTCTGGGGGTTTCTCCTCCTCTTCGTCCGTTGAGTATTCTTCTAAAACACCATCACTACAATAGATCAACCTACGTGGTGTCTTCTTTTTGGGAGGATGTTCAGGGTCACCCTCCAGTGAAATGTTTGTAAAGTCACTTGGTTCCTATTAATACATCAAATATTACTCAATCTAAGTACCTTTATTCATTTGTAACTCATTTTATTTCTTAACTGATAATATAGAGAGCTGAAAGAAATAGCTAAATTAGAAAAATGGATAAATTCTGGTTAGTACTCACATTGACAGGTTCTTATACTAACTAGTACATACTTCCCTTGTACTCCTAAGACATTTCTTTTGTTGATATAATATTGGTATTCATTATATCTACACATATAATTAAGCAAATTCTCTATTTCAAGCAGCCACCGAACAGACACAGAGTTGTCCCTAAGACCCAAGGGCCAGAAAATTTCCCTGCCTATAATGACATAATCTCCCAGTTATTTTGGTATTCCCCTTCAACCCACTTTAAGGAGAGGAAACCCCTGAACCCTTCTACTTTTTTAATGTCCCCTGCTATTTCAATTCTTTGGTACAACCTAGTTAGAATAATCTAACTGTGTCTCGGGACAGGCCCTCACCACGGTTAGAATTCCTCCCATATACCCGTAATGTAGCAGAAAATTGCAGAATCGCTCCAAAACGATTTTGGAGACAATTAATGAAGTTGCATTGAAAATAACAGTCAAATTAATCATAACAAACCTCTTTGAGACTGTAAATACCTTTCATCTAAAAATTTAATCCATATAATGGAAGAATTGACCACTTTTTCACCAACGTTTTTACTCGTTTCAAATTTACACACCATGTTGACATTCGGAACTCTCGGGATTTTTCATAGTAAATGCACTGAGTTAGAGTTATCTCTCGTATTTTCTTTGCTACATTGACAATACACGGAACGCATTCTATCGTTAAACCGGGTCCGTAGGACATTTATCATTTTAACGATAGAACATTCTATCTAGATACAACCCTGCAGACAGATATTTATTTTGGTACAGAGGCTTGCTCCCAGTGTGTAAAAAAAATATTTTAAAAAGAATCATGTACATGTACCAACTAATATAAAACAACACTTATGATTTGGTACAATAGAATATATATTTTTAAATATTTTTTTTTAAAACATCGGTATATAGCCATCCCCTGGCCAATGTGATTTTTGACATGCACATTACATTTTTGATTATCCGAAGACATGAAATGGTAATCAAAATATGGAATGTCCGCACTTTTTCAAGGCACATTGGCACATAATTCAAACAGCAACTCCCCCAAAGATAACTTTAAGCTTGAACAACTTCCTAAAATAAAAATGTATATCTATCCTTTTGGAATTGAAAGATTACATAAAATCTTTCACATAAATTTCTGATTCCAATTAAAAATCTGGAATACTTTTGACGACCTAATCAGCTTGTTTGACGTAAAGATTTCAGGGTTTAACAAATATATTACCACTGGATTCGCTGACGATGATGCATCGGTATCCATTTTTGTTTACAACTGTATGCCTTTTCAAAGCTTCCATCAATAACACTAAAATGTCTTCTATCTAAACGTTTACCTCACAAAGAAAGTTTAAAGGAAGTAGGTCAGTCAATGAATGATTCGAGAAGAACATAGTTTATGATCTCCTCAGTAGATATGCCCGAGTAAGTTTTATGAAAGCTACATTTAAAAAAAAAAAAAGAAAAAAAAAAGAAGGGGTAGACTTTACTTTACCGGTCCCCAGATCCGCAAGATCCACGCGCTATTGCACTATGACGTAAGATTTACGTCACTCAACTGATAAATATATATTATTATAACAGTAACTTGATCCGAGGAGCCGTATCACGTCTCGTTGACAGGCGCGGATCATCAGATCAAACTCGACGCTTCGCGTCTCGTTTGATCTGATGATCCGCGCCTGTCAACTCGACGTGATACGGCTCTTCGGATCAAGTTACTGTTATAATGATAAATTTATTATATACCCCTTTACAACTAGCAAAGTATAATAAAAGGAAAACTTTTTTGTATCAATTACATAACTTTTATCCATTAAACAAACCATTTTGTCAAGGAACTTTTTGATGCGCGAGAATAAAAACGTCATTTATCTGTGTACTACGTCATCAGTTTCAGAGAGGGGTGATATGGATTCAGAAAACCACAGTGTGGTGATCTGGAAAGTCGGATCACACTCTGTAAAATTAACAGTAACAAAAACAAGGAAATTGATGGGTATATAATAAGGGTTAGTCTTGCACATTTTTTGACTGGTTATGGTTAGTCTTGCACCCACCTGAGAGATTAGGGTTAGTCCTTGCACAAGTTTTCAACTGATTAGGGTTAGTCTCGCATCGATCCGAGAGATTAGGGTTAGTCCTCGCAAATGGGTTAGTCTAGCATCCGCCTGGGAGATTTGGGTTAGTCCTCGCATACCATCCGAGGGATTAGGGTTAGTGTCTTGGTTTTTTTAAAAGATAAATTAAGAAATTTAGTTGCATCTGTATTTTTGCAATATCTTAATTCAGCTTTAACGACATCTCTTTGGTTTGTTTACATGAAAAAATGGCTAAGTACGAAAGAAACGGCACTAAGCATGCGCCGCACGCGCTCTGTTGACAATTATTTTTCGTCTCCTTTTCACTGAATAAACAATATTATTACATTTTCAACAGTGAAATACTGTAATTTATTTATTGAATAAAAGTGATATTCTCTCACAGTGTGAAAGAATACCAAAATGATATTCTCTCACAGTGTGAAAGGATATCAAAGTAAAGTAAAAAATAATTTCTGGCCTGTCATAAGATATAGATAGTAACTAAACATCTTGATAGAGCTAAAACTGCAATTTTCTTCCCAAATATATTGCTAAAATCCATGCTATGTAATGTTTTCAATCTCACAACTGCTAAGCTATGACGTCTCAACTGCTCAACTATGACGTCAAACCTAGCTATGCCACTATGTTAAGGAAGCGATTGCATGGCGTCAAGTGATCGACTCATGTGATTTTTAAAAAAAGAAGATTTACGGTAACCATTTCCGGAATAAGGAGCATGATTATGATTACGCCCATGACAAAAGGTTTTCGTGGCAATATTTTAAAACGGAGAAAGAATAAGATAGGCCCTAAAGATGTGAAGTTGCAGAGTGTTGGTGAGCGTCGACGCAGATTTTTTTTTTTTATCCATGTGTTTTTTTTTCGTTTTGACACGTCTAGCCTTTGTCGTAGTTCTGAACGCTGTAATCTGTTTCATAAGTAAATTTATTTCATACTTGGGTCTTTACGTCCTCTAGTTTTAATCAAAATACTAGAATTTTATTTGAGATCGTTTTTTTTTTATTATAGGGTTTACATCTATGAATAGACAATCATTTCCTAGAAGCTTCAGACGGCGTGATTTTCTCAGTGATTATAATGAATATAACCTGAGAAAGAAAATTATTTTGAGCATAACGTTATATACATTTAAAAAAAAAATTTCAACTCATCATGCTCAAGGGAATATATTTGAAAAATTAATTTAATTTTTGAAAATTCACGAGGACACGAACAAAGACGCTTCACCTCAGCATATTTCATGAACCGCTTGATCATGAAGCGCAAATTTATAAAAGTCATTCAACCATTATTTTGGAAACAAACAGTTTGCACTAGGCCTATAGTTTTGACGTCAAGTGTGGCATTATGACGTCACAATGGAGATATGTAGGCTTACCTAGTTCATGAGAAAATGAACTGTTTTCTAACTTGCAATGAATGTGTATTTGCAAATGTAAATATTACATAGCAAATCAATAAAATTTGTCAAATAAGATAATAGCTAGAATTTATTTTATATACGGTATATATTGCAGATACAAGTTCTCTGAAATAATCTACTCAATCAATGTGTTCAAGTGACTAACCCCCCCCCCCCTTTCCGATTCCAAGTCACAGTGCAGAGACCTCGATGAGTGTTCAGAGCATGAACAATTTGGCCCTTGGACCACTGTGCACTGGTTTAGAATGTATATATTTATATTGAAATAATAACGGAAAGAATATTTTAATGATGGAAAAATAAAAAAAATGTGCATACTGTTGTTTTTTGTGTACATGATACTTATATCATTCTGCTATCATTCTGCTCTACGTATAAAATGAGCAACCACCACAAGATTTTCAGGAAAAAAATATTTTATTAATCTGTACATATTGTTTTTTTTATAGTCTTTTAACAGATTATGCACTTTAAAGGTTCAGCAACAAACCATCAGATTAAAATTTATGAAGACTTTTAATATTTTAGGAAGGGGGGGGGGTATTGAAATGCATGTAGCTTATAAAAGAATGTGATGACCCCACTTCATATTTTAACCAAAAGTCACTTATAATAATTGTTACAAAATATATCCATTTTAGGAAAAATCATTGGGCAATTTTTTGTCAAGACTTTGAAAACTGCTCCTGGGGTGAAAATATAACTGCAAATTTACAATGACTACTCCCCAAAGCAACTGTGGCATTACTATATCTATCAATAGTTTCCGATACAATTTTTATTTTCATTGAATATAAAGCATATTATTTAATATCTGGTGAAAATTATTTAATTTGTTTCAATTTTGATATCTGTATGACATACTTAAAATTTCACTACATAAATATCAAAATATTGAAAAACGGTGGTTACCATGGCAACCATATCTTCTTTATAACCCTGATGACCATGGTTGACATTTTCATATTATGATACCATTAACGTAAGGCAAATTATATGTTAAAATGAGAAAAATTCATAGAGCGGATTTTTTTCATGGACCCTTGCAATCTCTTCCTTAAGAAAAGACAGAGGCAAAGGGAAAATCAAAGAAAATGTAATAAACAGAAAATTCAATGTTTTGTAGATGAATATGGAATTTATTTCACTCGTGAGACAGGATTTGTTGATATTTTCACTCGTGCTTCGCACTCGTGAAAATATAAAAAAAATCCTGTCCCACTCGTGAAATAAATTCCATATTCATCTACAAAACATTGAATATCCTCTATTTATTTACTTTTTTCAGAAAACGAGGTTAAAAACTTTGTTTAAAAACGAAGTTTTAAACTAAATTATTAACTGTAGAATTCGATTTTGGGGTCAAAAAGGCTAAAAACCTCATAATTTAAATTTTTTTTCGATCGCTCACGCGATCTCATATATACTGAAGTCGCCTACGGCGACACTATATTCACAGGAGTTCGCAATTTTATCAATAAAGTCACTAAAAATCACTCGATTGACCAAGTCATGAGCTATGCGTTAGCATAGCGAACAGTTCGCTATCTAACGCATAGCTCATGGCTTGGTCAATCGAGTGATTTTTAGTGACTTTATTGATAAAATTGCGAACTCCTGTCTATATTTTAGCGCGTTTTTCTGGGGACCGGTAAAGTCAAGTCGTTCCAAAAGAAGAACAAGAATTTACAATAAAAGTGATTATATCGCGAAAATATTGACTCCTTGGGGCATAACGTTAGTTAACAAAACTCTCTCCCCTCAGTCCTTTCCTCTGCTCTCTCTCCGTCTCTCCCTTTCATTCCTGTATTTATGTACATTTGTTCGTTTGTTCATCACCTGTATTTATTGTTCATTTTCTTTATGATAGCATTAATACACCGTCAAGGTCAAAGGGAGTTGCATTTTTAATTAGAAATAATAGCTCGTATATTAGCATGATTGAAGAGAATGTGAAGTATGCGAATGGAACAGAAGGTAGATTTTTCTATATCAAATATACAGGAAACAATAAGTTTTATGCCATACCTCACCTGGGGTGCCAGGAGCTCCCTGGATCGGTACTTTTTCAATATTTAATTTACAAAATTATATACACTAGATGAAGAAAAATACATGTACATGTATATATATCATTGTTAACATTTCATTTCTATACATACATGTATGCATATCATTGTAAAATATTTCTTTTGTAAATAAAATAAATATTATAGATGAAATATCTATATTGTAGTTATATACTTATCAAAGTACAAACAATCAAAACACAAAGAAAATCATATTTGGTCAACTAACTTTTTTAAAAGATGGTAATTGGATTTAACACTTTTTGCATCCTTTGCTATTAAATAATACTGATATAATGATGATTTTAAAAAAGTTAACATTGCATTTGCATTTACGTTTTCATTTTGCTTCCTACATTTCATTTTATACTTGTATATTTTGTATCCTACAACTGATATGGCTAGGGCTGTTTCAATATATCGATCAATCGATACGTATCGATGTTTAAGAATGTATCGTATCGAAAAAAATAACTTCCAATATGTATCGAACAAGCAGATTTTCTTATAATTCTGTGAAAAAGTTGGGAATTTCAATCACCAAAGGTTATATTTTTCACTGTTTTGAATTAAAAATTGATCAATAGTGATATAATCATTAAGGATATAGGACATCTTAGATAAAGATTACAAAGTACAAAGACAACTTTATTTAACATGTTGTTTTCAGTCATTAAAAGTTTGAATTTGAAGTGTAATTTGTTATGGCAGTGAATCAGGAACTTCGAAATGGG